ATAAATGTGTGGTTTTATTTCTGGGCTTTCAGTTCTGTTCTACTGATCTGTGTGTCTATTCTTGTGCCAGTACCATGCTGTTTTGATTACTAGGGCTTTGCAGTGTATTTTGAAGTCAGATATTGTGATGCCTCCAGTTTGGTTCTTTTTTCTCAGGATTGCTTTGGCCATTTGGGATCTTTTGTTGTTCCATATAAGTTTCAGGATTCTTTGTTCTATTTCCATGAAGAATGTCATTGGGATTCTGATTGGGATTGCATTGAATCTGTAGGTTGTTTTAGGTAACATGGATATTTTAACTATGTTTATTCTTCCAACCCATGTGAATGAAATATCTTTCCATTTCTTTATGTCTTTTTTGGTTTCTTTCAATAATGTCTTACAGTTTCCTGTGCATAGGTCTTTCAGCTCCTTGGTTAAATTTATTCCTAGATATTTTATTCTTTTTGTTGTGATTGTAAATATGATTGTATTCTTGACTTCTCTTTCTGCTAGCTCATTATTGGAGTACAGAAATGCAACTGGTTTTTGTAAGTTGATTTTGTACCCTGCAACTTTGCCGTAGTTGTTGATCATTCCTAATAGCTTTCTGGTGGATTCTTTAGGGTTGTCTATATATAGAATCATGTCGTCTGCAAACAGCAAGAGGTTTACTTCTTCCTTTCTAATTTGGATAACTTTTATTTTCTTTTTCTTGCCTAATTGCTCTGGCCAAATTCTCCAGTACTATGTTGAATAGGAGTGATGAGAGAGGGCACGTTTGTCTTACTCCTGTTGTCAGAGAGATGGCTTTCAGTTTTTTACCATGAAGTAGGATGTGGGCTGTGGGTTTGTCATGTATGGCCATTATTATGTTAAGGTAGTTTCCTTCTATACCTACTTTATTGAGAGGTATTTTTTTATCATAAATGGATGTTGGATCTTGTCAAATGCTGTCTCTGCATCTATTGAGATGATCATGTGATTTTTTGTGTGTGTGTGAGGAAGATCAGCCCCGAGCTAACATCCAATGCCAATCCTCCTCTTTTTTTCGCTGAGGAAGACTGGCCCTATGCTAATATCCATGCCCATTTTCCTCTACATTTTTTTTATATGAGAAGCCGCCACAGTATGGCTTGACAAGCAGTGCATTGGTGTGCACCTGGGGTCCAAACCTGTGGACCCTGGGCTGCCAAAGCAGAGCACACCCACTTAACCAATGCACCACCGGGCCAGCCCCAATCATGTGATTTTTATTCCTCATTTTGTTAATGTGGTATATCACATTGATTGATTTGCAGATGTTGAACCATCCCTGTGTCCCTGGAATAAATCCCACTTGATCATGGTGTATGACCCTTTTAATGTATTGTTGTATTTGATTTGCAAATATATTTTTTTGTGTATGAGGAAGATCAGCCCTGAGCTAACTTCCGATGCCAATCCTCCTTTTTTTTTTTTTGCTGAGGAAGATTGGGCCTGAGCTAACATCCTTGCCCATCTTCCTCTACTTTATGTGAGACACCACCACTGCATGGCTTGACAAGTGGTGCATCAGTGCACACCCAGGATCCAAATATGCCAACCCCAGGGCCACCACAGCTGAGTACACACACTTAACCACTTGTGCCACTGGGCTGGCCCCTAATTTGCCAATATTTTGTTGAGGATTTTTGCATCTATGTTCATCAGGGATATTGGCCTGTAGTTTTTCTTCTTTGTGTTGTCCTTGTCCAGTTTTGGTATCAGAGTGAGGTTGGCCTCATTGAATGAGTTAGGAAGCATTCCATCTTCTTCAATTTTTTTGGAATAATTAGAGAAGGATAGGTATTAAATCTTTTGAATGTTTGGTAGGATTCTCCAGAGAAGCCATCTGGTCCTGAATTTTTATTTTTTGGGAGGTTTTTGATTACTGTTTCAATCTCTTTACTTGTGATTGGTCTATTCAGATTCTGTTTCTTTTTGATTCAGTTTTGGGAGGTTGCATGAGTCTAAGAATTTATCCATTTCTTCTAGGTTATCCAATTTGTGGGCATATAGTTTTTCATGGTATTCTCTTATAATCCTTTGTATTTCTACGGTATCCATTGTAATTTCCCCTCTTGCATTTCTCATTTTATTTACTTGAGGCTTCTCTCTTTTTTCCTTAGTGAGTCTGTCTAAGGGTTTGTCAATTTTATCTTCTGAAAGATAAAAACAAATTTTATCTTCTCAACATCTTAATTTCATTGATACTTTCTATTGATTTTTTGGTCTCAATTTCATTTATTTTGCGCTAATTTTTATTATTTCCCTTCTTGCTGACATTGGGCTTTGTTTGTTCTTCTTTTTCTAGTTCTGTTAGGTGTAGTTTAAGATTACTTATTTGAGAGTTTTCTTGTTTGTTGAGGTAGGCCTGTATTGCTATAAATTTCCCTCTTGGGACTGCTTTTGCTGCATCCCATAAGAGTTGGTATGTTGTGTTTTCATTTTCATTTGTCTCCAGATATTCTTTCATTTCTCCTTTTAATTTCTTCAATGTTCCAGTGGTTGTTCAGGAGCATGTTGTTTACTCTCCACATGTTTGTCACTTTCCCAGCTTTTTTATTGTAGTTGATTTCTAGTTTCACAGCATTATGGTCAGAAAAGACACTTGGTATGATTTCAATCATAAATTTATTCAGGCTTGCCTTGTTACCAAACAAATGGTCTATCTTTGAGAATGTTCCATGTGCACATGAGAAGATTGTGTATTTTGCTGATTTTGGATGGAGTGTTCTATATATATATCTATTAAGTCCATCTGGTCTAGTATTTCATTTAAGTCCACTGTTTCCTTGTTGATTTTCTGTCTGGATTATCTGTCCATTGATGAAAGTGGGGTGTTAAGGTCCCCTACTATTATTGTGTTGCTGTTAACATCTCCTTTTAGGTCAATTAGTAGTTGCTTTATGTCCTTTGGTGCTCCTGTGTTAGGTGCATATATATGTGTTATATTCTCTTGGTGGAGTGTCCCTTTTATCATTATATACAGCCCCTCTTTGTCTCTCATTGTCTTTTTTATCTTGAAGTCTACTTGGTCTGATCTAAGTAGGCAACACCTGCTTTCTTTTGTTTGCAATTAGCTTTGAGCATTGTCTTTCACCCCTTCATTCTGAGCCTGTGTTTGTCTTTAGAGTGTAGATGTGTTTCCCAGAGGCAGCATATTTTTGGGTGTTGCTTTTTAATCCATCCTGCCACTCTGTGTCTTTTGATTGGGCAATTCAATCCATTTACATTTAGAGTGATTTTTGACATATGAGTATTTAATGCTGCCATTTTGTCACTTGTTTTCCGGTTGTTCTGTATTTCCCTTTTTTCTCACCCCACGTATTTCTGACTGCCATTTCAGTTTGGTGGCTCTCTATGAAGGTTTTCTCTTTATTTATCATTTGTGTCTCTGTTCTGATTTTTTGTTTAGTGGTTACTGTGAGGTTTGTATAAAAGATCTCATAGATGAGATAGTCCATTTTCTGATAGCCTCTTAGTCCCTTAGTCTAAGCAGGTTCCATCCCTTATCTCTTCCCCTTCTAAGTTGCTGTTGTCAACTTATTCCATTCTGTGTTGTGAGTTTGTGATTAAAATGAAGTGATTGTATTTGTTTTTGATGTTTTCCTTTCCTTTATCTTTAGAGTTATAATTAAGTGTTGGCTAATCTGTTGTCATAGGGAGTTAACAATTTTCTGATTTTGTCTGCCTATTTGTCTCCTCGCTCAAGGCTTTGTAAAACCTTTCTTCTTTTTTTTCAGGTATGAGGGCCTTCTTGGTCATATCTTATGGGGGGTTCTTGTGGCAATGGACTCCCTGAGCTTTTGTTTATCTTGGAAACTTTTTATTTCTCCATCATATCTGAAGGGTGTTTTCACTGGATATAGTATTCTTGGATGAAAGTTTTTGTCTTTCAGAATTTTGAATATATCATTCCACTCTTTCCTAGACCATAATGTGTCTGCTGAGAAATCCACTGAAAGCCTGATAGGGGTTCCTTTGTAGGTTATTTCCTTCTACCTTGCTGCCCTTTATATTTTTTGTCATTGACTTTTGCTAGTTTTACTAATATATGCCTTGGAGAAGGTCTTTTTCCATTGATGTAATTAGGAGTTCTATTGGTTTCATTTATATGTAATTCCAGCTTCTTCTCCAGGTTTGGGAAGTTCTCAGCTATTATTTCTTCGAACAAGCTCTCTGCTCCTTTCTCCCTCTGGAATACCTATAAGTCTTACGTTACATTTCCTTATTGAGTCAGAAATTTCTCAGAGAATTTATTTCTTTTTCATCTTAGTACTCTCTCTTCCTCCATCTAAAGCATTTCTATATTCCCTCCTCTAGATTGCTAATTCTATCCTCCATAATATCAGCTCTGTTATTTAAGGACTCCAGATTTTTCTTTATCTCATCCACTGTTTTTCATCTCCAACATTTCTGATTGGTTTTTCTTTATAGTTTCAATCTCTTCTGTCCAGAATTCTCTCTGTTCATTAGTTTTGTCCCTGCTTTCATTGAACTGTCTTTCTGAGTTCTCTTGTAACTCGAGTTTTTTTCTGATAGTTGTTTTGAATTCTCTGTCATTTCGATTGTAGATTTCTGTGCCTTCAGGATTAATTTCTGGGTGTTTGTGTTTTTTCTTCTGTTCTGGGGTATTAATATTTCTTCGTACTATTTGATGGAGTGGATTTGTGCTGTTGCATAGTGATAGTATCTGGTCACAAGTTCCACCTGACGCCACTGGAGGGGCAGCTGTGTATTCTGAGCCCACCATGATCCCTGTCAGCTGTGCCTGTCCAAGCCTGGGCCACTCCTTGGGACCGCAGTGGCCCTGTGGGCTCTCCCACTGAATGGGAAAGCAATCACGTGTGGGCTCAGGGCTGCCACTGACGCTCCCACAGTCCCACCAAGACGCACTCCCCACTTTGGGGACACAGTGGTACTGTGGGCATTCATGGCAAGAGGGAGCTTCTTCACCTAGGCGCACAGGATCTGCCACCATCTGCTCCTAGGTTGCACTAGCTGTTGTGCTTGGTGGTTGAGGCCTCCTCACTGGGTCTGAGCCAGATCCACTCCCTGGTACCACGGTGGCACTGTAGGCTCTCCCACTGGCCCAGAGAGCAATCACGTGGGGCCTCAGGGCTGCTGCCACCTGTGCCCAGTCCTGCCATGTCATGCTGCCCCCTTCAAGCTCACAGTGGTACTACGGGCATTCACGGCTGCCAGGAACTCATTCGCCTGGGCATGGAGATCTGCCACCACCTGCTCCTAGGTCACACCAGCCATTGTGCTTAGTGGGTTGGGCCTCCCCATTGGGTACAAGCCTGAGACACTCCCCATGGACTGCACAGCAACGTGCCCTGTCCCACCGTACGAGGAAGCAATCACACAGGGGCTCAGGGCTGCCATCACTTGCTCCCGCAGTCGCACTGAGGTGCGCTACCAGCAGGGCAGCAGTGGTGCTGAGAGCTCCAGCTGGGAGAACAGTTGCACGTGTATACTGGGCTGCCTGGGGGCCAGAGAGTGCTCAGCTATCTCCACCACCTCCCCAGGGATAGTCCATCCATCTAGATGTATAGCTCAGTGACTCAGGCATCCTAATGTGCTGTATGGGTATCCTCTGCTGATCAATGAATGTCTATTTAGTTGTAGTTCAAAGGGGGACAGACAAAGGGAACAGCTGACTCCACCATGTTGTTGACATCACTCCTGAATTATTGTCAATTTTATAGAGTATCTTTTATGTTTTCAATGAAATTACTGATTTCAGGTGTGTATGTATTAAAACATCAAAATGTACATCTTATAATGTTTGGTTTATATCTTAAGTCAATTATACCTCCATTAAATAAGTATTCAAAACTTGCCATTCCTAATCTTTTTACTCAGTTTCATTATCATCTATGTTCTCAACGTTATTTGCAGCTACAGGATCAGTATGATGGAAATAAAATGGTGTGCCTCTGGCAACTCTGCCCAACTCCATGTTCAGTGGCATCATGTTTGGAGTTTGAAATTGGCCATGGTGGGAATATTTACGCCAGGGAAATTGGCAAATACTATGAACCAGGATTTAATTAATTATATTATTGAAAGTCTAGCCTTGAGAATGTGAATAATGCAGATTAAATTTAAAAGTATATGACGTACAAGGTCACTACATTGTGCCTAGCACAAAAAAAAAAAAAAAAAACACTGAGAAACAAAAACGACTTGTTTGTTAAAAGGGAAATAGCCATAATTCACATAATAAGGCAAAATATGTGAACAGATATTTTATCATAAAAGATGTACAGATGGCAAATACATGAAAAAAATGCTCAAATCATGAATCCCTAGGGAAATGCAATTAAAACTACTGCTTGCTTATTAAAAAGATAAATTCAAACAATTGACCATACCAAGTATTGCCAAGGGTGTAGAAGAAACAGAACTCTCACACACCCCGGTGGGTATGAAAAAGTAAATGACCAGTTTAGACCACAGTTCAGCAGTTTCTTAATTAAAACATTCATCCTATGACTCAGGCATTGTACTGAATGTTCACTTCACAAGAGAAGTGAAACATGCATATGTACACATAGAGTATCACACACAAATGTTCCAGCAGCTCTATTTTCAATAGCCAACACTAGAAATAACCCAAATGTCTGAAAACAGATGAATGGATAAACAAATATTATCTCCATAGAAAAGATACTACTCAACAATAAAAAGAATTAACTACTCAAATAAGCATCATTGAAGAATCTCAAAATAATTATGAACCATGAGTGAAACCAGAAAAAGATACTTTATGAATCAAATCACATAAAATTCTCGAAAATACAAACTAATCTATTATAAATGAAGGTAAATCAATGGTTGCCTAGAGGTCTGCAGAGGGGAAAGGTTATAAAATGGCATGAGATTACACTAGGGGTGATGGCCATATTCATTATCATGATTAGGAGGTTTCATAGGCTTATTTATGTATATCAAAATTAAACAATTGTACACTTCAAATAGATGCAGTATATTGCATGTCAACTATATCTGAATAAAACTTTACAAAATAGTTCAATAGAAAAATCTAGATCTCCTACTCTCTTCAGAAAATAAGCTTTGATAATTCTATATTGACTCTCTTTCCTGATGATCTTCAAGGAGCAGCCTTGCCTTAGTGGTGGCAAATATTGATAAGGAACAAAGTCCATTTCCACCTGACTCAACAGGAATGCTGTCTAGGTCACAGAGCCACACTGCTGGACTAAGGGATCTCATTTCAATCTATGCTTGTTTTCCTGCCTGTGTGGCAATGGACTTTTGGTGAACATCCCAGAAAGGCTAAGGGAATTCACAAAATCAATAGCGTTTTCTTTGACAATGACCTCAACTACAAAAGATATATATGCCTGGAGGTCCCAAGAATTTCTGCGCAGTGATACTTCAGTCACTGGACTCTTTATTGATACATTAGAAGGGACATTCCATCTGTATAGCTGCAGTCTCCTCCACTCCAGTGTTACTGTACCAAATTAGGCTTCCCCCAGTGCCCTGTAGTCTCATAGTGACACTAACCTAGTGAATTCCGGGTATCAGGACACATGGCTCCCTTGTAGGACCTCAGGTAGAGATTCCCCTCAATATTGCTGATTGTTTACAACATCTACTGTGAACAAGAAAAACAATTCATGTTGTTCCCAGAAGCAGTGGAGGTTGTCACAACTTCCTGACTCCCCAGGGTGTTCTCTGAGCCCAGAAATCCTGACACCCAGTCCACAAATTAGGACCACAAAGCCCTGCAGTCTTTCCTAGGAGATCTTGAGCAATAATGTAAATGAGGCCAAAAACTGGAAAGAGTGGTATATTCTTCCATCATACTGTTGTCTCTGAGGCACACAAAGCATTGGACCCCCACAAAAGCTGTTCACTCCTTAATGCTGACAGAGCCCAACTGTTTTCAAAACATCTCACACAGTGAATAGAACGCCAAGATCAAAGGTGGCATAAACAATAATGCCTTTGTCACTGTAAAAACCAAAGAAATACAAGGCAGGCAGTTCCCAGGTTGTTGCCTTGGGTGCTGGGAAATCCAAGATAAGTGTCACATGAAACAGACATGTCCTTGAAAATGTAGTCGTTATTGACAAGTCACCAGCAGAATTCAGAGTATCCTCCAGCAAGTGAGGAGGGAATAGAGGCCAGTTTCCCTGAGCATACTGGGGTGGTAACCAATGCACACCTGACAAGGTGTGGTCAGGTGTGGACCTGTCAGGTGGCAGAGGTGGACCACCACCAGGTGTGGACCTGTCAGGTGGCAGAGGTGGAATGAATTCTGCCATAGAAACTGGCAGTGACATAAATCCGGCAAGGGCCCTGGGCAGGTTGGAAAGTTGAACACAGCTCCTTAAAGATTCCCATGTCTGGAACTTAAGGAGACTCTCCCTACTGAAACTTTTTGAATGGATTCTCTTTAATTCAGGAAGATGACTCCCTCACAAGTTCCTCCATCTTAATTACATTAAAAGGAAACTGAATACCTTCTGTACATCTAAGGTTTTCTCTAGTGTGAAGTCTCTGGTATTGAATGAGGTCAGATTTGCAGCTAAAGGATTTCCCACATTCACTGCACTCATAAGGCATTTTTCCAGTGTGAACTCTCTGGTGTGGAATGAGGGTGGAGCTATGGCTAAAGGATTTTCCACACTCCCCACACTCATAAGGCCTTTCTCCAGTGTGAACTCTCAGGTGTTTAACAAGGTTAGATTTGCAGCTAAAGGATTTCCCACATTCACTGCACTCAATAGGTCTTTCTCCAGTGTGAACTCTCCAATGGTCCTTGAGGTTAGAGCTATGACTGAAAGATATTCCACATTCCCCACATTCATAAGGCCTTTCTCCTGTATGGAGTTTCCGATGTGAACCGAAGCTAGAGCTTTGCTTAAAGAATTTCCCACATTCGCTACACTCATAAGGCCTTTCTCCAGTGTGAACTTTCTGATGCTGAATGAGGTTGGACTTTTAGCTAAAGGATTTCCCACATTCCTTGCACTCATAAGGCTTTTCTCCAGTATGAACTTTCCTATGGCTACTGAGGCTGTAGTTTTGGCTAAAGGACTTCCCACATTCACCACATGCATAAGGCCTTTCTCCAGTTTGAACTCTCTGATGTATAATTAAGCTGGAGTAGTAAGTAAAGCATTTACCACATTCATTGCATTCATAAGGCCTTTCTTCACTGTGAACTTCCTGGTGCTGAGTGAGATTACGTCTTCTGGTGCAGGCTTTCCCACATTTGTTGAGCTCATAAAGCCCAAAGAGTCTAGCAAGGACTCTCTGGTCCTGAACAAGTGTGTCTGTGCAGCTGAAGGTTTTCTTGCATTCTCCCCAGTTGTGATGACTTTTTCCACAGTGAAAGACAGACTCACACGTGTTACTATTGTTTGGCTCCTCCTTGGTGTAAGTGAGCTGTTGATAGATAAATCCCATGCTGGCTAAAAAGTCTTTCCCAATCTCCTCACATGTAACGGATTTCCCTGATGCATGGACTGTGTAGCCCTTTATAAACGATGCTCTGTCCATGTTACTTCTGTTGGGTTTCTAACGTGCTGCCCCTGTTGAAGGCTGGCAGTAACAAAGAACTGTTTCCCACATGTGTATGTTTTCTGCTCAAGATACGTGCCCTGGTGCACAGCTAAATGCAAAATGTCTCTCAAGATTGGGGCACACATCTCAAAGGTGTGGGCTTTCTGGGAAGACCAATCTGCCTTAAGAGTCCTGATCTGTGACACTGCTTGTACAGAAATGCTCTGTTCAGAAGGTGCTTCATCTTTCATTCCATGCCAACAACTTGAAAGCAAAGAAGTGACGGTGAAGGACATATTGACTTTATTGGGAGGGGGTAGAACCATCACAAATGCACACGTGACAGGTTCAAGGACCAGAGCGCATGACTGTTTTCAGTAAAATGGAGTTCAGGTCTGTTTGGGGAAGCAGCTGTTATGCACTACTGGGTCCCTAAGGTCACAGAACTTGACAGGCCTACCCAGCACAGGACACAAGACAAGGGCATGGCCCAGGGTGAAAGGCACGTTCTACAACTCATTCTTCTGTCAACAGTTTTTAGCAGCTTTATGTGTGCTGGTAACGTGTAATGCTGTGCAGAAGTCTACATCCAGGCCCAGGAAAATCTGACTGGAACAAAGTAACTAGTGTTCAAAGACATATGCACACTTCAGGACACAACAATGTTGGAAAGCACTGTGGAGGCAGCAGTGTGAGGAGCGAGATAAGCAGTCCAGAGAATGGGGATTAGCCCTGAGCTGGAATCAGAATAAAAATGACTAGCAAAAAGGACTAGTTGCAACAGTGTCAAGAATGGAAAAGAGAAGGTAAAAGTGAAGTATAGCCACTGGCAGTGGCACTGAATACAAGTCAAGTAGGACAGGTTCCTGGGATGTTGTGAATACAACCCTGACGTCATGTCCTCTCCCAATCACCATTCACCTGGGTCACGCCCCTTGTGAGCACATCTTGTTGAGACTGGAATCACGGCCATCCTGTGAAGCATAGAGGACTCTTCCCCTTGCCCCAGCTAACCAACCGCATGGTGCCTGGAAGATCCAAATCCTAAGGGAAAGACAGGACAAGTCAGTAGCCAATACTGGACCAGAACAACTCAGCCCACAACAGATCACGGGAAAGATATTTAAACACCACAAAAAGTACCTCCAGGCACAGCTAGAAAAAAGATGGTGAGTAGTAAACACCAGGAATCTGTCTCTCCACTTGGACCACAGTGCACTGGCAGAATTAATCTGATATATTTTACAACTCTTGAGTCTACTGAAGGCTTGCAACACACTCTGAGCATGATATCAGTTATCCATCTCCCAACTCCCCCAGTTCGCTAACTCTGAGCCCCAAGGCAGGCAGCCATGCCCATGTTCCTGGAGCAGCTTCCAGGAGCTAGGGTGGGCAATAGGACCCTGTTGTCTAAATATCAGGGATCTGTGCTCTGATTTCACAGAGGATTTAAAGGGCAGGCATCTATTCCCTCCACCTGCTCTCCCTTCAGTTTTCTATTATTCCCCTTTCAGGAGGCAGAAATTCAAGAACTAGGACATTCAAAATCAATCATATACATGGGGGAATTTAGAAGATCACCGTGCATGCCCACTGAAAGGCACAGGCTCAGAAAACACCTGAGAAGATCTTAACTTTTCACCTCACACTAATCTCCAGCACAGAGACACCCTACAACCATTAAAAAAACAAATAACCACAAAACCCCTGGCAAACCCTGGGGCAAGGAGGATCGGATTTCTTGAGTTGCCACATCATAAGACAGAAATGTCCAATTTTCAATCAAAAATCACAAGACACACAGAGCAAAGGGAAAATATGGCCCATTCTAGAGAGAAACTCAAATCAAGAGAAACTGTTGCTGAGAACCACCAGGTGGTGCACCTAAGACTTTAAAAACATTGTCTAAAAGATGCTCAAAGAACTAGAAAAAAATGTGGACAAAGTCAAGAAAATGTTTCACAAACAAAATGAAAATATCAAGAAAGAGAAAAAATAAAAACGAATTGAAAAGAAATTTTGGAGCTGAAAAGTATAGTAACTGAATGAAAAAAATCACGTGAGAGATTCAAAAGCAGAATTCAGCAGGCAAAATAAACAATCAGTGAACTTAAAGATATCAAATCTGAGGAATAGAAAAAAAAATATTGAACACAAGTGAACAGAGCATAAAGACCTATGGAATACCATAAGATGGACCAACATACACAATGTGTTAGTCCAGAAGGAGAAGAGAGAGACAAAAGGACAAAGAGCTTATTTAAAGAAATAATGGCTGAAAACTTGCCAAACGTGATGAAAAAAGGATTAACACCTAAGAATCTCAGCAAACTTCAAGCAGGATAAACTCAGACACTCACATTGTGGCACATTATAATCAAAGTGTTAAAAGCCAAAAGCAAAGAGAAAATCTTGACTGCAACAAGACAGAAGTGACTCATCACGTAATAACATTATCAGCAAATTTCTCATTAGAAACCCTGAAGGCCAGCAGGCAGTGGGTTGACATATTCAAAGTGTTGAAAGAAAAAAGAAAACCTGTCAACTAAGAATCCCTTATGAAGCAAAACTGTCCTTCAAAAATGAGGTGGAAATTAAGGCACCACAGATAAACGTTGAGGAGATTCTTTACTACTAAATATGTTCTGCAAGAAAAACTAAAGGGAGTCCTTCAGATTGAAATAAAAGGATGGTATATGTTAACCCAAAACCATTTAAAAAAATACAAGATATCTGATAAAGTTAAATACATTCACAACTATAAAAGCTAGTTTTATTGTAACTTAAGTTTATACCTCCACATTTTGTTTTCTACATTATTTAAGAGAGTAATACATAAAAAACAATTATTAGTCTAAGTTTTTGGACACACAACATTAAAGATGTAATTTTGTGACATTAAAAACTGAAAGAGGTGGGGATGCAGCTGTATAGAAGGAGAGGTTTTTAAAAAACATTATTGAAGCTAAAGTGGTATAAATTCAAATTATGTGTTACAACTTCAGAATGTTAGATGTAATCCCCATAGTAACTACAAAAAAAAATAGCTACAGAAAGTACACAAGGGAAATAACAAAACAATTAAAACATTTCACTACAAAAAACGAACTGAACAAACAAGACAATAATACAGGAAATAAGGGACAAAAAAAGCTATAAGGCATACCGAAAACAAATAGCAAAATGACAGAAGTCCCTCCTCATCAGCAATTACTCTAAATGTAAACGGATTAAACTCTCCAAGCAAAAGACAAAGACTGGTAGAATGGATAAAAGAACATGATCCAACCATATGCTGTCTATAAGACACACTTTAGACCCAAAGCCACAAATAAATTGAAAGTAAAAGTTTAGGAAAACATATTCCATGCAAATAGTAACCCAGAGAGCAGGAGTGGCTATATTCGTATCAGACAATAGACACTTCACAGCAAAAAGTTTATGAGACAAATACGGATGTTATATATTAATAAAAGATTCCATATACAAGGAAATATAACAGGTATAAACATTTATGCACCCAGTAAGAGACCAGCAAACATATGAACAAAAATTGACAGAACGAAGGGAGAAACAGGTAGTGCTACATTCATAGTTGGAGGCATCAATAACCCACTTTCAAATATAGATAGAATAAACATAGAGTAGTAAGGAAACAGAGGACCTGAACAACACACTAAACAAGCTAGATCCAAGAAGCACATACAGAATGCTTTATTCAACAACAACAGAATATACATTCTTCTGAAGTGCACATAGGACATTTTCCAGGATAAACCATATGCCACAAATAAGCCTCAATAGATTTAAAAAAGTAGATATCATACAAAACACCTTTTCTGACCACAATGGGATGAAGCTAAAAATCAAAAACTGAAGGAAAACTGGAAAATTCACAAATCTGTGGAAATTAAACAACACACTCTTAAACTATCAATGGGTCAAAGAATAACAAGACAAATTAGAAAATACTTAGAGATAAACGAAAATGAAACACAATATACCAACAATTGTGTGACGCAGCAAAACTAGTACTAAGGGGGAAATTTATAACTATAAACAATTACATTGAAAAAAGAGAAAAGTATCAAATCAACAGCCTAACTTTACAATATAAGGAAGTACAAAAAGAACAAACTAAATCCAAAGCTAGCAGAAAAAAAGAAATATACAAGATTAGAGCCAAGATAAATAAAATAGAGAAGAGAAAAACAATAGAGAAAAACCAACAAAACGGAAAGTTGGTTCCTTAAAAAGGCTATCAAAATTGACAAAGGTACATGCACCCCTGTGTTCATTGCAGCCTTATTCACAATAGCCAAGACTTGGAAGCAACCTAAGTGCCCATCAAGGGACGAATGGATAAAGAAGCTGTGGTATATATACACAATGGAATACTACTC